TTTGACATAAAAAATAAGAGGATCATGGTGAGCAGTGACTTAGCAGAAAAAAAATTAAGAACAAGATAGCATAGGCCTTAACAGCGGAATGAGAAAAATGTACCCTCGTAGATTAGATAAAGGTTTTCGTTTGAAATTACCTGATCGTCACGCCAGTCAATAAACACATGAAGAAGGCCGATGGGTTCAACGATGAAACATTGTGATAATAACAACAAAGATGAGGACAAGAGTCCGAATGTAACTCATGTGATTAAACTTTATCTAATGCCGATTTTCAAGATAGGTTCTCAAATAAATGGTTGGCCCAATATAATATTCCAACCACTAATTTCCATTAGTTTGAATTTTTGTTACAATGACACTCAGACATATATAAGCAATTTTGTCCATGTATAACTTTCATAACTCTTGGTGTACTTTCATCAAGCTATTTCAAATGATTATATCTCCTGCCAATAAAATGATTATATATAATGGTGGACTCTCCCGTGGTATTAGACGTATGAGGATCAAGCAGCTCATTTCCTAAGAACCGACAGCCCAGACACCAGCACATAGGATTTGATTATAGGGGCGAAGATTTTGTACAGAACCAAGGCCGAATACAGAGTACATGCCACAAGGTCTGCAGGTTTTGAATTCAGAGTTGTCCTTCTCCTAGACCACTTGCCATCCAAGGTTATAGAACCCAGTCTGTCCTGCAATTTACCCATTGGAGGGAGAAGAAGAGGATTCAAACCTTTCCCAAGAGTATTTGCACGTAAGTGAATGTAACGGATTCAACTGGAATTCGATCTCGGCTCTCCGATTTCTCAATCCGAGCCGCTATCAACTATTACACCTATTTGCATCTCAATATTGTTTTAGCCGGCGTGTTTCGTCCAATGTGAACTTTTTCAATACAGAGTATCTATAAGCTACAAACATAATCTCGTTAGCAACTAGAAGAATTAAGAAACGCTATTGTATATTCATATGGTCAACTGAAACATTACGTCAATTATTATATTATGTTTGAAGGGAATATTTTTTGAAGAGAATATTTTCACGTGTAGAAATATTGTATTGTTGTGTTGAAGAATTCAACTGTTTTCTTTTCATTTCTTGATATATTTGTTGTGTACTTTGGGCTTGGGAGATTAGTGATTCTATTAGGAAAGGTGATATTGGGGAAAAAAACAATGCAATACCGTTTTTGAATTCTTCTAGTTGTTAACGACATTTTGTTTGTTGTTTATAGATACTGTTTCAATAAATTCATTTCGTTTTTTGCCTTGAAAAAGTTCTCATTGGACGAAACACGTCGGCTAAAACAACGTTGAGAGGCATATATATATATATATATATATATATATATATATATATAGAGAGAGAGAGAGAGAGATAGATAGATAGATAATATTACTGGTCAATACACACACACACAAACACACACACACACAATATATATATATATATATATATATATATATATATATATATATATATAGTTTTAAAAACAAGGAATGTATTGATTTTAATTTTAAAAGTGTATATACACGTGTTTGTTATTTTAGTGTGTTTCCCCCTTTTTTACTCTTCATTGTCGTTAATATTCTTTTCGCTGATCCAACGATTGTCTCCTGATGAGATGTTGGCTGAAAGGGCCCTAGAGACTTTTAAAATTAAAATCAATACATTCCTTGTTTTTAAAACTATATATATATATATATATATATATATATATATATATATATATATATATATATTTCCAAGAGGATAGAATCCAGGTAGAATGCAATGTCCAGGACAGAGTAATAATATAATAAAAAAGGGTAGAATGTGTTTTCACCTCAAAAATAAGCTAAAATGTCATATAATAATTTATGGTCACATGCCGAGGCGACAAGAATATTTTAAACAAAATTTTGGAGGTTCTGAAAAAGATTAAAAAAAATACAATTTAATAATTAATGAAACTTTTGGTCTTTCCTCTTAATAACATAAAGTTTTGATGATAAAACTTTGTTTTCATTAAGTTTTGGGTATTTTTTCATCATGTATGCTCACTTCTAGCGTGTCATTTTCTATGTGTGTGTGTGTGTATGTAGTGACATACATATATACGCAGGATAGTAATAACTTCTTGGGCTGACCCACTTATCAAATGGTCAAATGAGAAAACATTAGAATTTGGTTGGGTATCCTTTCTTGGTCGGAGCGAAAACAAAAAGAATAACGTAGGCAATAATGATGTAGAATCCTGGATGAGTCAAGTAAACATACGCTCAATGGCTATATCTACTATCAATACGATAGACACATACACACACACATATACATGCACACATACGCACGCACACACAGACACAGGCACACACCGAAAGACACACACACACACACATATATATATATATATATATATATATATATATATATATATATATATATATATATAAGCAACTATATGGATATAGATCTGACAGTATGAAGAAAAATATATGGAAAAACAAAAATCCGAATATGCTGTTTTAATGTTATTTCAATGTCGACGTCAGACGTTTTCGGTCTAGTAGACCTTCTTCACGACATGATTATTAAAACATTTAATTTATTCGATTTTCAAGTAGCATGAAAAGATTATATCGTCATTCATGTTGACTTGAATATCGTCTAATCATGTTGACTTGAATTAATTATGTTTTAATAACTATGTCCTGAAGAAGGTCTACCAGACCGAAACGTCTGACGTCGACATTGAAATAACATTAAAACAGCATATTTGCATATTCGATTTTTGTTTTCCATATATTTTTTTTATATATATATATATATATATATATATATATATATATATAGAGAGAGAGAGAGAGAGCGAGAGATAGATAGATAGATAGATAATATTACTGGTCAATATACACACACACACACATATATATATATATATATATATATATATATATATGCATTTCGATTGTACCTCGACTGGGGAGAAGTGCAACTGGAATGCATCGAAAGGAAGTTGCATCTTTATAGTGAGTAAATGCTTTTGTTTATATGGAAAAATCATAATAAATAATTATTGCTCTATAATCAGTATCGAACCCACTTCTGAATTAATACTGTGAACGTTAGAATTTATATATTATTTTCGTTCTCGTTCCATCGGATATATATATATATATATATATATATATATATATATATATATATATATATATATATATATATATATATCATACAATCGAAGTAAGATACGATTATTTAAATGATCATTTTCACCTTGTAAAATTAAATTTACAGGATTTTTCAAATACTCACTAGATAACTTCAAATGTTCAATATTTAATATTTTATATTGTGTTCATAGGATTCTCTTGGATTATACACCAACGGATTACTACCTGTATATATATATATATATATATATATATATATATATATATATAGTGACACAAGTAAGTTCTTAGCCTGACCCACTTGACAAAAAAAATCTGAATTTTGTGGGGAAGCCTTTCTTGACTGGACCGAGATCAGTGAGCACCCACCTCATATATATATATATATATATATATATATATATATATATATATATATATATATATATATATATATATAATGAAATAAATGAAATTTATACGTATGTATGTATATATGTATGCATATGGTAAACACAAATGAGTAACGTTAGCCATAATGAGGTAGATTCGTGGAAGAGTCAAGCAAACAAACGCTCAATCCGAACCGCATTGACTTACCAGCCCCGCCGTAACAAAACAAGTCAGGATTTCGTTTAAATGAGGGAGGGCTGTTTGAACACAGCTAACGATGTTGAACGCAAGGCAACCAAAGACGGGAGGTGCAGTGAATATGAAAAAGGTGCCAAAAGGGGACAACAACAAGAAGGTGCAGGGCGTGTTCTGATACCGTTCCTTTGAATGAGAGAGCTGACGGAATTAGGGGATGAGACGGTACAGGTGGTAAATTTAGTAATGGAATGTAAATAGAGTGGCCAAGATCGAGTTTGGCATTGTGAGAATGTTTAAAAGAATAAATGTTGTTGTTGCGCCTGTCTACGCGTGGCCGGAATACAAAAGAGGTTTGCAAAATGAGTCGTTAGGAATTGGGGCCGTCGTAACGAACAGCTACGAAAATATCTTCACATGTGAGTGAAATTTCAAATGAATATAAAGAAGACCTGATCCAACAAAGATGAATAGATATTTTACCTGAATAGATTTTACTTAAATCTATTCTATTCTGAACTAGTGTATTTTCGTATATGAATCTATTCAGACGAGTATCTTTATTTTGGTTGTTATAGCTACATCGTTTCGGATAATTTAGGTTCCTTCTTTCTTGTGTTCCGTCCTCGGTAAGACGATACACTGCATCCACGACCTAGGTAAGACGATAAACTACATCCGGCAGTAAGGCCTCTGATCGGTTTTGAGTTGCGTGGGACAACCTCTTAATTGCTAGTATTCCCAGGTCCACCCTGATCCGGGGTGGTAGCACCTGTTAGGGTCACAGCTATGGGCAAACTTGGGCTAAAATACTGTGAAAGTGTAAAAATAGGTTTTAATACCAGAAATACTTGGTAAAAAATTACTACCAGCAATAATTTTTTGAAGGAAACATTATTATCAGTAATATTAAAAAAAAAAATATTACCAGCAACACAAACAGCTATAAACTCTTTGAAAAAAATACAATCAGCTATACATCTTTTTTTAAAAAAATATTACCAACTATACATTTTGTGAAGGAAAAATATTACTAGAAATATATAATTGAAAAAAAAAATTACCAGCAATAAAAATTTTGTCAGCATAAATAACCTATTGAGGTTGATATGCCGTAAAACAAAACGAAACAAACAAACAAATTTCTTATGACTTATCCATGTAATGCTCAAATCCTATTTACATTTGCGTTTGATAATATTGTCACTCTTCTGAAAATAAAAAAATAAACTGCAAAATATGTGGCTTATTTTATTCGATTCGAAGTATGATTACGGCCGTATCACGTTGAAACACCGGTTCTCGTACGATCACCGAAGTTAAGCAACATCGAGTCAACTCAGTAACGGGAAGGACGACTGCTTGTGAATACCAGTTTGGATGTGCGTATGGTGCAATGGATAACTCGGGATTCAAAATCGGATATCCGAGTTCAACTTCAAGCCGGTTTTGTTATAGTCAATGTACGCACGAATGCCGTTCGGCAATGAATAAATCCATCTCTTCTTCGACCAGCCATGAATTAATTAGTAGAAATTGTATGGTGTAATGGATACCTCAGAATTGGAAATCGGAGATCCTAGTTAAAAATTCCAGCTGGTTTTGTTATAGCAGTCATGGAAACAGGAAGAGGGTACAGAGTTCCATAGGCGAGATATGAAGCTGTTGGAGTAGAAGAGGCGGCTACATTTAACAGTTTCGACAGTGAAAAGGGTGAGCGAGATGCCAGCATAGAAGAACGCTTGAATTCATGAAGTCTGGGAACCAGCGAAAGCAGCTCCTCGGTGCATTTACCATGAAAGTACTTGTAAAAAAGAGACAGAGAGGCGACGGCACGACTGTGAGATAGTGACTGCAGACGAGATGCCAGATCAGGGCCAATTACGTTGCATATCCGTCTCTAGATCTTATCAAGAACCTTGAGACAAACAGAAGGGGCACTGGACCATATATGCAAGGGCGAGTGTTTGATTTGTAAATTTGAAGGATCGACTTCCAACAGTCTAGAAAACACGATTCATTGAGTCAGTAGTTATATAATTTGAAGAGGACAGGGACCAGTTCAGGCACACATTTATTCAGGACAATGGCTGGTATCCCATCTCCTTGCAGAGGCCTAAATTAGAGATAATGCCCAATACCGATGACGGGGTTATGTGCAGCTAGCTCAATAGTGCCTCAGTTTTAAGGGGGAAATCAGGGGTGGGTACACCGAAACAGCCGAGCGCTGAATTGAATGAAAATTTCCGTGCAAAGCATTCAGCTTTGTCGGCAGAAGAGGTCAGAAACCTCGAACTGGTTGAACAAAGGAGGTATAGAGGGTTTGCTATTGTTTATTAGAGCCGAATTTGCGAGATGCAATACGTTCTTTCATTCGAGCAGCAAATAGTGACTTTTCTTCATTGAGGACACGCTTACACTCGTTACGGGCAGAGACAAAAAGGTGTCTATTGCAGTCAGACATGTCGCTACGATATAGGTGGAAAAAGTGGTCGCTATGAACAATGGCAGCTGAGCAAGCAGCCGAGAACCATGGTGAGGTGTGTGATTTGACCTTATGGGTTGATGAGGGGATGAAAACCTCGATTCCAGCTTTAACCCAGGAGAAGACCTCGAAAGCATATTCTTGGACGGGGAGCTTAAAGACAACATTTTTTTGTGGCCTCTCTTGTAAAATTCTAGATTAAATATATGAACAGTAACAAAGAGGAATGTTAGACTCAAAAGTTACTCTATTTACATTGCTTGGACTATCATCCTCAATGAAAGCCTCGATTCCAGCTTTAACCCAGGAGGAGACCCCGGAAGCATATTCTTGAACGGGGAAAGACAACATTTTTGTGGTCTCTCTTATATAATTCTAGGTTAAATATATGAACTGTAGCAAAGAGCAATGTTAGACTCAAAAGTTACTCTATTTACATTGCTTGGACTATCATTCTCATCTTTGTTGCCATAGTCAAAAGTTACTTATAGATACAAAAAATAGGAAATTGTGGGGAGCCGTGATCGCCCATGCCCTGAAAAACACAGTGCATAAAGAAGAAATATACTGAAGCATTAATTAATAATTATGAAATTTAAACTTTTATTCAGCTTCGAAATCAAACGATTTTTTTTTTCTGTGCATTCGAACCTGTTTAAACTCCTGTAGACAGCCTGGACAATAAGACGGGTCTCCAAATTATGACGTCACACAGTTGTTAATTTAAAAACTTCTTCTTAAAGTCTGATTCTTATTTTTGGTTAATTCCCATCAAAGAAAAAAAAATACAATGGCGGCTTGGATTCTCTGGATGAGATAAAGATATGCAGTGATCAGGATCAAGGAGAAATAAATCTTTCAGGCTAGTTAAAAGAACACATAAAAGTGAAAGATATTGTCCTTTACGGGATGCTTCACTTTCCGACTAAAAGATTTATAAACGTCTGATAGGGGCCAACTGAAACTAAATCGCTTGATAACAAATGACTGAAAGGAATCTGTGAACCACCAGCGAATTATTTCCCCCTTCAGTTTCTCCGCTCCCTAACGGCCGGAAAGATTATCACACAGGATGATAAAAATCAAATAACGCCCACTTAAACACAGACACACGAATAAGTAATTCACGCTATATTTTATTTCATACATGTCTCTGTCTTCGTCTCTTTGTCTGCTTGTTTCTTTTCTCCGCAACCCACCCTTTGTCTCTTGACCAGTCGAGGGTTTTCTTTTGGTAAACACACTGGCCTAAAAGGCCAAAAGAAAAGTGCGTTAAAAAAAAGTAATTTGTATAAGGAGGGGTGCTGAAAAGCCATTCCGAAAACAAAAAAAAAAAAAAAAGAAGAAAATAAGACCATTCTGATGTTTGGCCATTTAGTGAAATTTGGGGAAAGGGATCGAGTATAGACCTTTTCAGCACCCCACTGCAATTAGGTTCGTCTGTCACAAAGACGCAAATGTAAAAAACCCAGTGAGGATGGGATTCATTGTAATAATGACCTACTAGACTATCTCTATCTGTTTGCGTTTGTCTTCACATCTCTCTCTCTCTCTCTCTCTTTCTCGTTCTTTCTCTAGCTACTTCCTCTCTCCCAACCTCATTCTCGCTCTATTTTCTAACCCACTCTTTATACCTACCTATCTCTCCCTCTCTCTCTCTCGTTCTTTCTCTAGCTACTTCCTCTCTCTCAACCTCATTCTCGCTCTATTTTCTACCCCACTCTTTATACCTACCTATCTCCCCCCTCTCTCTCTCTCTCTCTCTCGTTCTTTCTCTAGCTACTTCCTCTCTCTCAACCTCATTCTCGCTCTATTTTATACCCCACTCTTTATACCTACCTATCTCTCTCTCTCTCCCCCTCTCTCTCTCTCGTTCTTTCTCTAGCTACTTCCTCTCTCTCAACCTCATTCTCGCTCTATTTTCTAGCCCACTCTTTATACCTACCTATCTTTCCCCCTCTCTCTCTCTCTCTCTCTCTCTCTCGTTCTTTCTCTATTCTTCCTCTCTCTCAACCTCATTCTCGCTCTATTTTCTACCCCTCTTTTATACCTACCTATCTCTCTCTCTCTCCCCCCTCTCTCTCTCTCGTTCTTTCTCTAGCTACTTCCTCTCTCTCAACCTCATTCTCGCTCTATTTTCTACCCCACTCTTTATAGCTACCTATCTCTCCCTCTCTCTGCCACCCCCTCTCTCTGTCTCTCTCTAACTTGATCTTTCAAGTTGCTCCTTTTGGTAAAAAGATGTGAGTACAAGGTCAAATCAGACACGTTAAGAAATTGATTAATTGATTTGTTTTTTACAGCTTATCAACACTTTGCAGGTTATTTAAAGACTGAAAATAGTTTTAGATTTTTTAGATAATAAAGGTCTAGTCTTACTAATTAACTCATTAGTAGGGTAAAGAGAAGAGATAGATTCCTACCTTCAGGGCATTTGCACATAAGGGAATATAACGAACCCAACTGGAATTGGAACTCGGCTCTCCGATTAACAATTCCGAACCATTATCCCTTACACCACATCCAGGCGTATGTACGTTAAAGAAAGTGATTAATATAAGAAGCGGTCTCAGTCCTACTAAAAACACCTCATCTCCCCGCATCAACACCACCTGCATCTTTCTTACGTTTAAACATTTCGGGAGATTTTACAAAATGGGTTGAGTATAAAACATTTTAGTAGCTCTTCAGAGGTATTTACTAACATTAACTTGGTCTTTGATAATGTCGAAAAATGTGAAACACCTAGTAGGAATTGAACTTACTTTATTGCGAGACTTTCTCGCTCGCCATTAGTATCATAGTAGATAATGTCTGTCCTTAAAATCAACTATCAACATTTGTGTTGTTACCCGGGCACCATCACGGCCTCAGCCGATTTGCTTCGTTTAATGTTAGCCTGTTCTCTGTCCACGTTGACCGGTTTCCGTCTCTTAGAACGATTTCTGCTATTGTCCTACATCCATCTTGTTTTAGCCTCGTTTTAGATTTTAAGGCGTTTACATTAGTTTCCATATTTCGAACTCTTACGTTTTATCTTTTATTTTTAATCATTTCACCCCATCCAAGGCAGTAAAGCCACTAAGACACAAGGAGTTACTGAGTGAGAAAGAATAAGAAAAAAGAGGGGGCATTATTGAGTAGCGCGAACAATAGAAAAGTAATGAAGAAGACAATTCTCACATTGGATTATTCTAGGTGCCCCCAATCCCTACAAAGGCATGGGGACTGTTACACAAACTGTCCTGCTATGACATCTCTAAAAGAGTCTTCTCAAATATCAAGTCTTCCTATAAGTTAGGTCCATGAAGGTTGTTGTTAATGGACACGAAGTTGAAGGTGTCCTCCCCCACTTGGTACTTTTTGCCTCTTATTAACGATATGCCCAAGTATATCCCCAGATCATTAGTAAATATACTGGGTCAGCAAAAAAACTGACATCATTTAAAATGTGAATATCTGAATAACTACAAGTCCCAGGCAAACGAAATTAAATAGGCTTCATGATGAACAATAAAAGATTTATTGAGCAAAATTCAACCAAAATATTCAGAAGAATGTAGAATTTATAACCGATTTCACAAAGCTTTACAAATATTCAATAGGCGTACCAGCTGTGACATGACACGCGTCACATCGGTAGTCCTGCTCCTGCTAAACACGCTGTAGCATGTCTTGCGTAACATTCTTCAGTGCCTCAGTGATTCTTTGCTTAAGTTTCTCTAGGCTTATAGTAAGAGGGGGTATAGACCTGTCCTTTCACATAGAAAAAAACAAACAAAAAGTATCAATTCAGCTGAACGTGTTGACGATTACAGCAGGACATTGTCATTATCACACACTCACCCGATCCATATTCCTGGTAGATTCTGAAGCGACGGTGTATGTTA